TCCATGTCTGTGGTACTTTATGGTGTTTTCATAATATTTCAGATATTGTCTCACTGTATCCTTACAACCAACCCGGTGTGATCCCAGGACTTGCCCAAGGCCCCAGCAGCTCCTGAACTGGAACCCCAAGTCTGGTGACCTCTCACCAAAGGAGCCTTTGAGGCCTCTGTTTCACCCGCAAAATGGAGATAATCCCTGACACGTCCTAAGAAGATTGCTGAGAGATTAAGTAAAACAACATATTTAAAACACATAAGCATATAAAAGTACTCAACAAATATAAGGTAGTATTATTATTAAATTATGATATCTATGTCTTAACCCATGTCTTTCCCAAATTAAATTTAATCACAAATAGTTTGTTTAAATTCCTTAAGAAGAAAATGCATTTATTAATGATGTTTCCTTCCCCTGTCAAAACCATAAGCTCCCCTAGTTGAGTTTTATCTGTACATACACACTTTCCCCATGACTTCTCTTACTTGTTTACTCCCTGACTGATCAGTTTCTTAAGATTCTCAGGAAGTTTCAGAAGGCAGCACTATTAATAATTTTTATTTCTTCCCAAACAAGAGAAATTAAGGAAAACTGAAGACACCCAGTCTTCATTTCAAGTATGATATAGATTCCACGCGTGGCTCCCAACTGAGAATGAATAAAGGACGTAGCATCAAAGGCTCCGGCCCTAATTAGCACTACTTGCCTTCGCTCTTTGCATTCCTCCAAACTACAGTTCCAGCCTTTCCCCAGAATGGAATCTTCCTTTCCCACCTCTGCCTCTTGGCTCAAACTGTTTGTCCTACCTAGAGTATTCCCTAGGCACTGCCCCAACTCTGTTCAAAGATCCTGCCCAAATATTGAATAATTAGGTAAGTGCACCACAGTGCATACACAAAGATGTTCATCATAGTGTGCTTTACAAGAATGAAAAGTTGAAAACAACCTAAATGCCCACTAATAGGGAAATGGTTAAATCCATTACAGACCACATATACATGGAATGCTACAAAACAATAACAAAAATGATGTAGATTACACCTATTGAGGTGGCATGGTCTCAGTATATTATCAGTTGAATCAGGTTTCAAAACAATATTAATAATGATCCATTTTAGGGAGGAAAAATATGTATCTAATCCAGACACAGGAAGAGTATGGCAGAATACAAAAACAAAGCTAATAATGGTATCTCTGGGTAGTGATAATGATTTTTCGAATCTTAGTAATTTTCACACTTTAAAGCTCTTTCCAATTAGCATTGTTAACTTTTATAATCTAAAAAAGTGTATTTTAATTAAAAGGCATTAATCATTAATACCCAATTCAAATGTCATCTGCTCCTGAAACCCTCCTCGCCCCCCCCACCCCCCGGTCTAGCCCACCCTTATCACACAGGTAATTCCTCTCTCCTGTCTGTTTCCTGAGAGTCTAATATATCTATTATAACATTTACCACATTTGTTTTGAAATGGCAGTTTTCTTTGTTCAGGCTTGATTATCAACTCCTGAAGTGGAATAAGCCTGTTTTACATTTACTGGAATCTACCCTAATAACCCATGACCCAAGTATCCAGAAACTACTGAGTGTGTTGATTTGAACATAAAGAAAGGCTATAAAATTTACACATTTGAAGACTGTACACCTAGTAGTGCTCTAATCAAACATTCATCTATAGTGGGGATGTTCAGAAATTGCATAGGGTCCATTCTGGAGAGAGAAATGGTCAATCAGGATATTTTATCTGTGGCAAAATTTCTCTATTAATCATTACTCCCATGTTTGCTTTCAAAGTTACCAAAGACACCCTTATTCAACTTGTTTAAGACGTGGGTTAATATTTCTTAATCCAGAGGCAAGTCTCTCAGATTTTTATCCATGAGCTTCCTCTTCAAACGGACAAGAACTACTTTTGCAATAATCCAAGTCCAATCCTGACTCAGTAGGAAATATAAATACCTATTGTTTTAGGAAGAAATAAGGGAAATAAATGTTTTAAGATTATGTAAGTCTGATTCAGGGAATTGACACAAATGAATCTTTTGAAATATCCAAGGCATTTTTTGAAGGTTCAATAAAGAATGTGTTTTGAGAACTAGGTGGGTGAGATTTAAAATAAAAACAACCACCACGATCTTAGCTGTTACTTAGCAATTTCAGGCTTCAATTGTTCCCTTCTAAAGGGCAACTGAGAAAACTGAAGAAACTGCTTCCAGAAGAAACACTGAGATATCTGATCCAGTTTCCTTTCTTCCTTCCATTTTATTCCCTAAGATTTTAATCCAGCCAGTATGAACTTTAAACTGCCCAGGTTTTTTGTTTGGTTTTGTTTCGCTCTCTCTGGAGACAATTCCTTTTCCTTAATTTCTGAATCAAAAGCAAAGCTACATGCCATGGTTAGTTAGGGGCACCCTGGCTGCTTGTCCCCAAAGTGTCACTACCTGAGGAAATGCAGAGTCACGGGTGTACAGAGAAGGGAAAGAAGGAAGTTCAAAAGGGAGTGAACAGTCTGACTTATCTCCAAGCACTGGCACTCGAAAGCCAGAAGAAGTGAGGGGTGCCAGGGGCCAGTTACAAAGCTGAGTTAACAACGTGAGAATGCCAGTCACACTCTTAAGAAAATAAGTCTAAATTCTAAACTGATCCTGACCCTTATCTTCATTCCAGAAGCTATGGGGGCATGATAACTTGGTTTACTTAGCATGAATTCAAAACCGGCCAGGTTTGCTTTTTTTTTTTTTTTTTTTTTTTAACATCTTTATTGGAGTATAATTGCTTTATAATGGTGTGTTAGTTTCTGCTTTATAACAAAGTGAATCAGTTATACATATACACATGTTCCCATATCTCTTCCCTCTTGCGTCTCCCTCCCTCCCACCCTCCCTATCCCACTCCTCTAGGTGGTCACAAAGCACCGAGCTGATCTCCCTGTGCTATGCAGCTGCTTCCCACTAGCTATCTATTTTACGTTTGCTAGTGTATATATGTCCATGCCACTCTCTCACTTTGTCACAGCTTCCCCTTCCCCTTCCCCATATCCTCAAGTCCATTCTCTAGTAGGTCTGTGTCTTTATTCCCGTCTTACCCCTAGGTTCTTCATGACCTTTTTTTTTTTTCTTAGATTCCATATATATGTGTTAGCATACGGTATTTGTCTTTCTCTTTCTGACTTACTTCACTCTGTATGACAGACTCTACGTCCATCCACCTCACTATAAATAACTCAAATTTCGTTTCTTTTTATGACTGAGTAATACTCCACTGTATACATGTGCCACATCTTCTTTATCCATTCATCCAATGATGGACACTTAGGTTGCTTCCATGTCCTGGCTATTGTAAATAAAGCTGCAATGTACACTTTGGTACATGACTCTTTTTGAATTATGGTTTTCTCAGGGTATATGCCCAGTGGTGGGATTGCTGGGTCATATGGTAGTTCTATTTGTAGTTTTCTAAGGAACCTCCATACTGTTCTCCATAGTGGCTGTACCAATTCACATTCCCACCAGCAGTGCAAGAGTGTTCCCTTTTCTCTACACCCTCTCCAGCATTTATTGTTTCTAGCTTTTTTGATGATGGCCATTCTGGCCGGTGTGAGATGATATCTCATTGTAGTTTTGATTTGCATTTCTCTAATGATTAATGATGTTGAGTAAACCAAACTCTTACCACCAGGGCTGAGAAAGATAATTGAAGATTTGTGGCTTGGAAACGTCTTCACAATAGGAAACTTACAATCAGTGGTGAGCTGGGGCCAGCTCATACCAGTCCCTTAGAACAAATTGCATATTCTCAGGATTTGTGGCAAGGCAGTTGTTAAACACACCATCATAACAAGTTAAATTACATAAACATACAATTAAACTATACTAAGAACAAAGATCATAAATACTCAAAACACGTCACTTCCTGTTTTACTATTATCAATGCTCTTGATGTTCTTTGCAACTATTGTACCTGGTTGGTAGGAGATCATATAACAGTGTGCTCCTGCACATCCCTTCCCAACTCTGCTGGCGGTGACTTTTGCTGGTAGTGTGAAATCAGCTATGGTGGGAGTGTTCACACCATGGAAATCAGCAAACACTACAACCCCCTCCCCCCATCAGGGCTGGCTCTAAACATTTACCTGCATATCACTACCTGCAATGTTAACCCACCACTGCCTGACAGGAGCTCAGGAAGTTCAGCTGGCCAGTCTTCTAAGTCAAGAAAAAGGCTTGCAAACTATAAATCATGATACAAATATGAGGATAGAAAGTAACTACTTTTATTGTGGCCCTGGAATGTACCAGTCACAGCACAAAGTACTATCCCCATGGTATTTCGTTTCATGAGAGGTATTATCAAATCCAGTATACAGATGAGTCAACTGAGATTGAGAGGCTGAGTAACCAGGTCTATGAATGTCTGACTCAAAAATGTATGATCTTTCCAGTAACTACCCCACTTACTAACGTTATCATTACCATAACGAAACCAAAACCAACCACCTATAACTGTCAGATAATTAACAAGCACTGATGGCCTTTGATATGTAAAAGAAAATGGTGTAATGAAGAGGAATAGACAAAGAGCTGACTTTTATTCATATTCACCAAGTTTATTCGTATTTACCTCCAAAATGTACCCACAAAAAGTGGGTAAGAAATGGGGACCACAGAACCAATGGAATGAAGAATGATCCGCATTTGAGAAGGGCTACTCCAAGGTTAATGTAAAAGGAATCCTCTTTCAACTCTTTAAATACTTATACTCTATCCACCAAACTGACATATCCAACCTAAGATGACACATTCTTCCAAGAAAGAATAATGCAAAAGCAAAATTTCTCAAATGTTGGCACCAACTTTCTGTAGTGTTTGCATATTTACTTTTCAAAATTTTCTCTTTTAAACTTTTGAGGTATTTAATTGTGCTGTTATTTTACCATGGTTTCTTACAGAAAATTCACCCTGTAGTCAACGGAATTCTAAAGGGCTAACAAAATTTTACTCACTGATTATTTTTTAAAATTCTTGTCATCTTGGCTTCCTATAAGTTACCGGCTTCTCCCACTGTTTCTGTACATTTCCATCACCTGCCATGAGAAGAAAGAATCTGATTATATGTCTCATAAAGACCATTTCCTGGTTTCTACTACATTAGTCTTTTCCTTTCTTTATACCCAAAACACACAGAAAAATATAGTTGTCTCTCCATTTCTCTCCAAAATCAAAAAGGCAGGAGAGAACACCACAGAAGATCACCTCAAGAGAAAGAACTTGAAAGAGCAGTATTTCTACTCTTGGGGTTTGGGGCGGACACTCTTAAAATACCCTCCCTTATGTTTTCAGGAAGAAATTTTTAGTCTTTCTTGGGAGGAAGCAGTATTAGAGTAAGCCACTTTCTCTCTCTACCTCTCCCCCCCAGCCCCTCCTCCCTTCTCAAAAGCAAGTGACTTATCACCTGGGAAGGCTAGAGTAAGCACTGGCTTAGTGCTGAGGCAGCACACAGAGCTGGGCAGCAAGGCCCTCCCTCTTGTTCTCTCCAACACCTAGGGCCAAGCTAACTTCCACACAGTAAGCAGGACAAGGGCTGCCTGCTTCTGGGAGGGCCAGCCAGCTCTCTCTGCCAGCTTCTCTCCAGCTGTTACCAGACTAGGATGACTAGATCAGGGTTACTAAGGTCCAATTCATGCTTTACAGAAGGAGGTAACTGACAATTCTCAGTTCTCCAATCCTGTTTTTATCAGTAATTAAGCTACTATCTATGTTGCTTCCCACTTGAGTTGCTCTATTTCTCAAATTGTTTAAAGATTATACGATTAGGAACTAAGATGGCGGAGTAGAAGGACGTGCTCTCACTCTCTCTTGCGAGAACAACAGAATCACAACTAGCTGCTGGACGATCATCGACAGGAAGACACTGGAACTCACCAAAAAAGATACACCACATCCAAAGACAAAGGAGAAGCCATGGTGAGATGGTAGGAGGGGCACAATCACAGTAAAATCAACTCCCATAACTGCTGGGTGGGTGACTCACAGACTGGAGAACACTTATACCACAGAAGTCCATCCACTGGAGTGAAGGTTCTCTGAGCCCCACATCAGGCTTCCCAACCTGATGGGGTTTCCGGGGGTCCGGAAACGGGAGGAGGAATTCCTAGAGAATCAGACTTTGAAGACTAGTGGGATTTGATTGCAGGACTTCGACAGGACTGGGGGAAACAGAGACTCCACTCTTAGAGGGCAAACACAAAGTAGTGTACGCATCAGGACCCAGGGGAAGGAGCAGTGACCACAGGGGAGACTGAACCAGACCTACCTGCTAGTGTTGGAGGGCCTACTGCAGAGGCAGGTGGTGGCTGTGGCTCACAGTGGGGACAAGGACACTGGCAGCACAAGTTCTGGGAAGTATTCCTGGGCGAGAGCCCTCCCAGAGTCTGTCATTAGCCCCAACAAAGAGCCCAGGTAGGCTCCAGTGTTGGGTTGCCTCAGGCCAAACAAACAACAGGGAGGGAACCCAGCCCCAGCATCAGCAGTCAGGCGGATTAAGTTTTACTGAGCTCTACCCACCAGAGCAACAGTCAGCTCTACCTACCACCAGTCCCTCCCATCAGGGAACTTTCATAAGCCTCTTAGATAGCCTCATCCACCACAGGGCAGACAGGAGAAGCAAGAAGAACTATAATCCTGCAGCCTGTGGAACAAAAACCACATTCACAGAAAGATAGACAAGATGAAAAGGCAGAGGGCTATGTACCAGATGAAGGAACAAGATACAACCCCAGAAAAACAATTAAATGAAGTGGAGATAGGAAACCTTCCAAAGAAAGAATTCAGAATAATGATAGTGAAGATGATCCAGGACCTCGGCAAAAGAATGGAGACAAAGATTGAGAAGATGTAAGAAATGTTTAACAAAAACCTAGAGAATTAAAGAACAAACGAACAGAGATGAACGATAAAATAACTGAAATGAAAATTACACTAGAAGGAATCAATAGCAGAATAACTGAGGCAGAGATGTAACCTGGAAGGCAGAATGGTGGAATTAACCGCTGTGGAACAGAATAAAGAAAAAAGAATGAAAAGAAATGAAGACAGCCTAAGAGACCTCTGGAACAACATTAAACGCAACAACATTCGCATTATAGGGGTCCCAGAAGGAGAAGAGAGAGAAAGGACCCGAGAAAATACTTGAAGAGATTATAGTCAAAAACTTCCCTAACATGGGAAAGGAAATAGCCACCAGGTCCAGGAAGCGCAGAGGGTCCCATACAGGATAAATCCAAGGAGAAACACACCGAGACACAAAGTAATCAAACTGGCAAAAATTAAAGACAAAGTAAAATTAATGAAAGCAGCAAGGAAAAAATAACATACAAGGGAACTCCCATAAGGTTAACAGCTGATTTCTCAGCAGAAACTCTGCAAGCCAGAAGGCAGTAGCATGATACACTTAAACTGATGAAAGGGAAGAACCTACAACCAAGATTACTCTACCTGGCAAGGATCTCATTCAGATTCGATGGAGAAATCAAAAGCTTTACAGACAAGTAAAAGTTAAGAGAATTCAGCACCACCAAACCAGCTCTACAACAAATGCTCAAGGAACTTCTCTAAGTGGGAAACACAAGAGAAGAAAAGGAACTACAAAAAGAAACCCAAAACACTTAAGAAAATGGTCATAGGAACATACATATCGATAATTACCTTAAACGTGAATGGATTAAATGCTCCAAACAAAAGACACGGGCTTGCTGAATGGATACAAAAACAAGACTCATATATATGCTGACTACAAGAGACCCATTTCAGACCTAGGGACACATTCAGACTGAGAGTGAGGGGACGGAAAAAGATATTCCATGCAAATGGAAATAAACAGAAAGCTGGAGTAGCAATACTCATATCAGATAAAATAGACTCTAAAATAAAGAATGTTACAAGAGACAAGGAAGGACACTACATAATAATCAAGGGATCAATCCAAGAAGAAGATATAACAATTATAAATATATATGCACCCAACATAGGAGCACCTCAATACATAAGGCAACTGCTAACAGCTATAAAAGAGGAAATCGACAGTAATACAATAATAGTGGGGGATTTTAACATCTCACTTATACCAATGGACAGATCATACAAATTGAAAATAAATAAGGAAACACAAGCTTTAAACGACACAATAGACCAGACAGACTTGATATTTATAGGACATTCCACCCAAAAACTGCAGATTATACATTTTTCTCAAGTGCACAGGGAACATTCTCCAGGACAGATCACATCTTGGGTCACAAATCAAGCCTCGGTAAATTTAAGAAAATGGAAATCGTATCAAGCATCTTTTCTGACCACAACACTATGAGATTAGATATGAATTACAGGGAAAAAAACGTAAAAAACACAAACACATGGAAGCTAAACAATACATTACTAAATAACCAAGAGATCACTGAAGAAATCAAAGAGGAAATCAAAAAATACTTAGAGACAAATGACAATGAAAACACGAAGATCCAAAACCTATGGGATGCAGCAAAAGCAGTTCGAAGAGAGAAGTTTATAGCAATATAATCTTACCTCAAGAAACAACAAACATCTCAAATAAACAATCTAACCTTGCATCTAAAGGAACTAGAGAAAGAAGAACAAACAAAACCCAAAGTTAGTAGAAGGAAAGAAATGATAACGATCAGAGCAGAAATAAATGAAATAGAAACAAAAAAAAAAACAATAGCAAAGATCAGTAAAACTAAAAGCTGTTTCTTTGAGAAGATAAACAAAATTGATAAACCATTAGCCAGACTCATCAAGAAAAAGAGGGAGAGGACTCAAATCAATAAAATTAGAAATGAAAACAGAGAAGTTACAAAAGACACTGCAGAAAAACAAAGCATCCTAAGAAACTACTACAAGCAACTCTAGGCCAATAAAATGAACAACCTGGAAGAAATGGACAAATTCTTAGAAAGGTATAACCTTCCAAGACTGAACCAGGAAGAAACAGAAAAAATGAACAGACCAATCACAAGTAATGAAATTGAAACTGTGATGAAAAATCTTCCAACAAACAAAAGTCCAGGACCAGATGGCTTCACATTCAAATGTCTGAATTCTATCAAACATTTAGAGAAGAGCTAACACCCATCCTTCCCAAACTCTTCCAAAAAATTGCAGAGGAAGGAACACTCCCAAACTCATTCTATGAGGCCACCATGACCCTGATACTAAAATCAGACAAAGACAGTAAAAAAAAAGAAAATTACAGACTAATATCACTGATGAATAAAGATGCAAAAATCCTCAACAAAATACTAGCAAGCAGAATCCAACAACACATTAAAAGGATCATACACCATGATCAAGTGGGATTTATCCCAGGGATGCAAGGATTCTTCAATATACATAAATCAATCAATGTGATACACCATATTAACAAACTGAAGAAGAAAAACCATATGATCATCTCAATAGATGCAGAAATAGCTGTTGACAAAATTCAACACCCATTTATGATAAAAACTCTCCAGAAACTGGGCATAGAGCAAACCTACCTCAACATAATAAAGATCATATACAACAAACCCACAGCAAACATCATTCTCAATGGTGAAAAACTGAAAGCATTTCCTCTAAAATCAGGAACAAGACAAGGATGTCCACTCTTGCCACTATTATTCAACATAGTTTTAGAAGTCCTAGCCATGGCAATAAGAGAAGAAAAAGAAATAAAAGGAATACAAATTTCAAAAGAAGAAGTATAACTGTCACTGTTTGCAGATGACATGATACTATATGTAGAGAATCCTAAAGATGCCACCAGAAAACTACTAGAGCTAATCAGTAAATTTGTAAAGTTGCAGGATACAAAATTAATGCACAGAAATCTCTTGCATTCCTATATACTAATGATGAAAAATCTGAAAGAGAATTTAAGGAAACACTCCCATTTACCATTGCAACAAAAAGAATAAAATACCTAGGAATAAACCTACCTAGGGAGACAAAAGACCTGTATGCAGCAAACTATAAGACACTGATGAAAGAAATTAAAGATGATAACAACAGATGGAGAGATATACCA